CTGAAAGTGCAGAGATGGCCGAACAAAGGAGCATGATGGTTTATGCTAAACCAACCCTCACTGGGGCAGCCTTGAGCATTGTGAGACCAGCAATAGCTGCTAACAACTTCGAAATCAAACCAGCAATCATTCAGATGATTCAGAATACAGTTCAGTTCTGCGGCATGGCTCATGAAGATCCAAACACTCACATCGCCAACTTCTTAAAAATATGTGACACATCCAAGCACAATGGGGTTAGTGATGATGCGGTGAGGCTCAGATTGTTTCCATTCTCATTGAAGGACAAGGCTAAGACTTGGCTGGACTCTYTACCAGTTGGATCGGTTTCTACTTGGGATGAAATGGCTAGCCGTTTCCTATCCATGTATTTCCCTCCGTCCAAGACAGCAAAGATGAGGAATGATATCACCACCTTCTCTCAGCAGGATGGGGAGTCATTGTATGAGTCATGGGAGTGTTACAAAGAATTACTAAGGAAGGTCCCTCATCATGGACTCCCCATATGGCTGCAAGTTTAGACATTTTATAATGGGTTGACCAAAGCAAATAAGACTATTATGGACGCTGCAGCTGGGGGATCCTTTAATAACAAGACCACTGAAGTTTCCCATGCACTCATTGAGGAGATGGCTGCAAACAACTACCAATGGCATTCCAAGAGAGCCCAAGTTAGGAGATAGCCCGGACTTCATAATGTAGACACCTATACAACACTATCTGCACAAATCGGTGCCCTCAGCAAGAAGATAGATGAAATGCAGTTGGCAGCCATGCATGTTCAGACCGTAGCCTGTGAATGGTGTGGGGGAGGTCATATCAGCACTGAATCTCAAGTCGGAAATCAATTCATGTAGTCCCCCGAGAAAGTAGACTTCGTAGGGAATTTGCAAAGGCAACAAGGCAATTAGTACCCTCATGCATTTAACCCCAGTTGGAGGAATCACCCCAATCTATCTTGGAAAAATCAAAATGCGGTGAAACCCTTTCCTCAAAATTTCCATAAGCCAGAGAAGAAATCCAATCTAGAGAAGCTGATGACCAAGTTCATAGCAAGTGCAGAAATGAGATTTCAGAACCAAGAAGCATCGATCAAGAACTTGGAAACTCAAGTGGGGCAGTTGGCTCAGATGATATCTTCTAGAGTACAAGGCGCCTTACCCAGCAATACAGAAGCAAATCCAAGAGAACAGGTGCAGGCCATTACTTTGAGGAGTGGTAAGGATTTGCAARAGGTGGAGAAKAAAGCAAAGGAAGAAGGCAAGGTGAACGCAACCCTAAAAACCGAAAAGAAGGAGAAAGAGCAATCTAATTCAAAGAAAGAGAAAAGTCAACAGCCACAAGTACCATTTCCGAATAGGTTAAAGCAACACAAATTGGAAAAGGAATTCGGTAAGTTTCTTGAAATTTTTAAGAGTTTGCATATTAACATTCCTTTTGCAGAGGCCTTAGCCCAGATGTCGTACTATGCAAAGTTCCTAAAGGAAATATTGGTGAATAAAAGGAAACTGGGAGATGTGGCTACAGTTGCATTGAATGAAGAATGCTCAGCAATCCTCCTCAACAAGCTGCCTCAGAAACTGAAAGATCCAGGGAGTTTCACTATTCCTTACGCTATAGGCAGTTTGAAAATTAACAAGGCATTGTGTGACTTAGAAGCTAGTATAAATTTGATGCCCTATTCGGTTTTTAAGAAATTAGGATTGGGTGAACCCCAACCCACTCGAGTTGCATTGCAATTAGCTGATAGGTCCATCAAGCATCCTAGGGGAATCATAGAATATGTACTTGTTAAAGTTGACAAATTCATTTTTCCTGTGGACTTCATAGTGTTAGACATGGAAGAGGACGTTGACGTCCCACTTATCCTAGGGTGACCCTTCCTAGCTATGGGAAAGGCAACAGTTGATTTCCAACAAGGACAACTCAGCCTTAGGATTCAAGATGAGGAAGTAACTTTTAAAATGTCCGGTGCTATGAAACATGCACCTTCTAGTGATGACTCATGCTATATGATAGATGTCATTGATTATGCGGTTGGTGGGTGTTTTTAGGTCAACGAGCAGCGCCTCAAACCATATGTAGCGGATGGAGCATTGCCTACCTCATCAACTATATACCTAGATGTTCATTGATTCCACTGGAACGTCGAGCTTCAGACGAAAAACAAGCGCTTATTGGCAACCCAATGCTGATGAGTAGTTTTTTTTTATTTATTTGTGTTTCTACTTTTCTTTCTCGTATCATTCGAGTTTCTTTTCTAGGATGTTAATTTTGTAGATTGCTGATCTCTCTCAATGTTTATCATTCTCTCCTCTTAGTTTCTTTTGATCTTAGCAGCTAGAGGGTCTAAACGAAGGAAACATTCTAAATTCCAGAATGCTCTTCAGGGAAGTTCTCTAAACCCCTTCAAATGTTTGAAGCCCTGCTTCTCACATTGCTGAATTCATCCTTGCATTTTCTCTATATGAACATTGAGGGCAATGTTCATGATAAGTGTGGGGGTGTTAGGCTGTATCTATGCACCTCAATCACCCCAATACATAAATGCATTGATAGGCTGCATAAACTGGAAATTCCCTCAATATTATTGCTGTCTATAGGGTGAATACCAAGAGGGGATACAAGGAAGTCGAAGGAAATCACTGTAAGTGCTATAATTTGTTCCTGTGAAGTATCCAATTTTATCACAATACATGAGGATGAGGAAGTTGAATAAGACGTTCATCATGACCAGCACTAACTCTACTCATGTGTATAGTGCACTTGATTGAAATCTTAATGATCATTTGAGCTATTAGTGCATCATGGACTGTTAATGCATGAACTTTAACAATTGATTCAGAAAAGAAGAAAAGAAAAAAAGGAAGAAAAGAAAGGACAAAGTCTGAAATACTCCGTTGTCATGAACTGAATAGTAAAACTTGCAGTTCATGATATGAGTTCAGTCCCAACTCCGTTATTCCAAGTTGAATAGTAARACTGGCAATTAGGAATATGAGTATTGTTATCTGCCTCTACCCTGTGACCCGTGTAGATGGAGCATAAAATGCATTCACACCAAAAAAAAAGAAAGAAAAAAAATTCGGCGATGACTGAGGTTCAAGGGGACAAAAATATAGTTGGAAATTCAATTAATGCATTGACAGGATTTGAGACCAAGCTCGAGGTGATGGTTTGTTATGGTGGTCAAGGAGCTGCTATACATATGGAATGGAATTGAGTGTTGGAGCATGAAGAATCTCATGTTCTCCCTCCCTTTGTTCTCATGTATGTGGTAA